CGTTACTTTTTCAGCCCAGTGTCTGTGTATATCTGCTCCATTAGCCAAAAGTCTAATCCAGCCTTATCGACGTAGTATGCAGCTTGTGTAGCATCCCCCCTCTCCCTTCCCCCCCAATGCTGCGTGCGTAGCTTCGCCTGCTTGCCATTGCCGACATGTTGACCCAACTGCATAACTATATTCTCCGACTGGCAATCTTCAAAACAGGACAAAAAAAAAGAGGAAGAGCCGTCATTATTCTGTGTTGGTTGTTGGTGCTGTACCGTGAGAGAGCAAACTCGCTTCTAGAACGTCACTCGATGGCGTCCTTAGCAAAGCAAGCATGTACTTTCTTTTCGTACAATGCCTGATTTACGTATAGTATTACAGTAAAAGGGGGGGAAGAGGGGCAGAACGTTGATTGACCAGATTGAGGTACCTCGCCATCACGCGCCGTACTATAACGTACAGCGATGTATTAGCGTATACTTGTGTTGCAAGGAAAAACAGAACATCTACCAAAATAAGAGCTTCTCTTGTAATAGGCCTCCACTTTTGGCAGAGTCGTCAAAACTACCATGTATGTACTTGCCACCAGCCGCATTTATCTCGCCATATATACATACAAAGTGCACTGACTGTAAGTGCGACGGCGTGGTACGACACGCCCCCTAGCGGCACGACATGGCGCACAAGACATGTTGCTGTAGGACGCAGAAACATTGGAACGCACAGTCGGGTTCTTCCACTGGTCTGTGCCTCGTGTCTGGATAACAACGCGAGGCCGAAGGCAAAAAGGGGTGGCCGGCGCGGAGAGCGCCTTCCGGGACCCACTTGCTTCGGCCGGTGTCTCCGGTCAATCTGTGGGAAGCACGGACAATGCCGTGCCGGAATGGTGAGACATTGGCCAACAAGTCTGCTACATTTTCATGGGAAATATCAGAGAATCAAGGCAATGTGTGTAGTATCCTGTACACGCGTTTCCGCGACCTTGCACCTTGCGCCTTGCACGTCGGCCGGTTGTGATAGACCGCAGGCGTCACCTCATCTCTCCGCTCACACTCTCCGTCGAGAGAGATATCTTGTAAGAATGGGAGCGCTTCATCGGCAAACGCCGCCGTCATAACTGGGACGCTCACAAACCTAGATTTGACTTTGATACTACCTGCTCGAGCCATGTTACCTGCTCTCTTGCTACTTGCATAGCCTTCTCTTCCCCCTCTTTCAAGCTTCATCCAAAGGACTCGTTGCATCGTTTCAGGGGCCAGCCGAATTTACTATGGGAAGAAAGGTAAACGCCTCTACTGTAGTCTACGTCCGACCACATGGATTGCCGTAGGATAACTGTATGGGGAGTCATGGGGCATCTCCGCAGTCCATTCCGGCCTGGTGCCTCCCGTAACCGCACCATCCTCGCCTCCAAGAAGGAGGCGTAACATGGAACGTGGCGCCCAACTGTTAGACAGTCTAATGCTGTGCAAAGACAGTAGGGCTCATCGTAAAACTAGAATACGGTTTTGCAGTTGGCGTCGGTGCCCTGGCTTCGAGGTTGAATTGCGAGGCTGTGCCTGAAACAAAGACAAATTATTGTGCAAAGAGGCTACAATCATTAAAATTGTATGCCGTTGCTTCTGTCACAGATTACACCTCATCCGATATCGCAAATATCAGGGAGTTTTCCTTATTTATACTCACTCCCAGGTTTGTGATGGAACCAGTTAGCGTCATGCTGAGAGTCACGTTGGCCTTGACGACTCATTCAAGGGGCTTGAAGCAGGTTTTCAGCTTTCGAATTGGGATTAATGGTGAAATTGGCTGTCTCCAGAGGCTGCCAAAGTATAGTGCCTGATAGGCTTTCTCACGGACTTGAGAGTTCAGCTTATCGCATCATCACTGACTATGTACAACGCACTGCCTCCTGCTGGCTTACTTACGACCATTGCCTGGGCCTTTTGGTCCTCTGTGAGCTTCATTTTGGAATAGTATTCACGCTCCAGCGCTTCTTTCACCTGTTCCACCTTGTCCACTGAAATCAAATGCACGCTGCACCCACCCCAACCAGCCCCAGTTTGACGACTTCCATAGGACCCAGCTTCCAAGGCAATCTGGCAGATTTTGTCGTTTTCCGGGCAACTGTTTTCATAGAGGATACGGCAAGAGTCCTGGGTTTCATTCATAATGCTTCCCAACTCCTTGTTGAAGCGCGTTGTATCCGATGCGCCGTTGTGCACGGGGCGCTCTAGAAGGGTGAGGAATTTCAGAACACGCAGTGCCTCGGTAAAGACGTGAAGAGCCCGCTGTCGCAGCATGAATCTCTCTGCTCTGATGGGAATTTTGGCCGTGAACCGGTTTTCGAGTTCTTGCACCGTCACACTGAGAACTTTGGCGATCTCCTCTCGGGTGTATCCCTCCTCTTGAGTAAGGGTCTCCTTCGTGACGGCAATGAGCTTCTCTAATTCTTCTTCTTTTGTCAGGCTCTTCGCGGCTGAGTAGTCCGATGCGTTGGCGTGGTAAAAGTACGTGTCATGAAACCCCTGAAGACTGATGCCTAACGGCCCAGCATCAACGGGTAGGCGCGTCCCCGACGGGTTGAGAACGGCGTTCAAGTATGCCGCCGCAAAACTCACTTCAACGACACGGAGATTGTAGTGAATAGGGCCAGTGACATGTTTGTTTGCAGTGACAAAGCTCTGTGCAATAAGGAAGCATAGCTCTGGCCGAGTTGGGGGGATTTTGACCGGACGAGCCTCGAGCCGGGGGCTGAATGATACGAACAGGGCAGAACCTGGCTCTGAAAACACGGATGCCGCTTGGTCCATGCTACGGAATATGAAGGTCAGCCTCTCCCTTTTCCCACTGCGTGAAGTCGTTTCAGAAAATGCAACTGCTTACCCGCCAGAGTTGACGCCGACAGCTCGCTCGCTTACAATAGCCAGCTCCGTCAGTTCTGTCTTGTCCACCGCATCCACGCCGTTGGCTTTCATGACGGCGAGAGCACTGGTAGTAACAATCGCGGCACTAGAACTCAGCCCTCCACCGACAGGGACTGTGCCATCGACCATGATTTCCATGTTGACGCCCTTGAAATCTTGACCGCGCTTTTTCCGAAGCAGCTTCATGGCACCACGAAGTCCACTCTTGAAGTAATTGGTCCACTCAAACTTTGAGGCATCAATGTCGACGTCGGCATCGACGGGCACGTCAAACTCGCTTGCGGCAAACTTGGAGTCTTCCACGTTCCCAATCCTCACTTTGAGTGTAGAGGCCCCCTCTGCAAGGGGAGCTGACGATACGGCCATGATGGCATCCGCTGTGATGGCCATGGGCAAGACTGAGTATAGCGAATAATCGATGTGCTCGCCGAGGATGTTTACTCTTCCGGGAGAACGCGCAACAAAACTGGGTTTGTGGCCGTAGGCTTTCTCAAACGAGGAGAGCAAGTCGTTCCATCTCGGTGCTTCTGTAGCCAAAGCAGCAGTCGGATAGATGTCAGCAAGGGAGCCGGCAACGGGCACGGATCCGGCCATGATGAGAGCTATCAGGATTCAGGACTATGGAGCGACGACGAGGGTTTCCACATCTAAGCGCGTTTGTCTGTGCAATGTTGAGCTTTGGATGGGCCAAATGGTGAATTTTGAACGTTGTCACCTGCAATGTTCGTGCTGTTTCAACCCCGCAGGTGGCACGAGAGCTGCCCCTCCTCAAAACCTGGATCTAGCTCTGTTGGTTGTCTGGTTGGCGATGTCAACTGGTTCCAGGTCAGGTGAAGAGAAATGCAATGCAGGCAACGCAAGGGCCAGGGAAGCGCATGCGATATGCGAGATGGTCCTGAACGAGATCAACCGTTTCCAATTAGGCCTCGGAGGGTGTTGCTAGCAATGGGAATGGCACAGCGTTTGAGGGTCGCAAGCCGCCACCTCTTATTTATGCGACCAGTGTCCAATGACCTCATTTTTGTCCACATGGGTCCGGTCGCCGCGAAAGGGAACATTGAACATTGACTGGGGTCGACTACTCCGTACAGAGCAGTCGATAGCTGTTCAGCTTGCAGAATTTGACAGATGGCACCGGGGGATTGTGGAGCTCCCCTGTTCATCTTTAAAGCTCTCCAGTCCTCCGGGCCTCCTGATAGGCGCGCAAACAGCCAACGCTGGCACCTGGGGTGAGGACATGGGACCTTGACATCTGGAGCTCAAGGTGCCAGGCCCTGGTCGTTATCCTGGAGCCCCAGGGGCCAGGTGCGCCAACATTTGATGCCTCCACATGTGCACATCTGCATCAACGATCACGGACACTACTCTGCACTCGCGCGGTCAGACATCTAGACGCAAGGGATTATTATCTACTCTGAACAGCCAACCCACCTTCATTCTTGGCGCTATTTTTGAAACGAGCCCATCGTCGAGGAAGAAGGCGTCGGTCGGCCCGGGTGTCAAGATGCGCACCTAGAAGAAGAGCCGTGAAGGCTTACATGTAGATACCAGGTTTCATCTTGTGGCCTCGGGCTCTGTCTCCCCTCGGCGCATATGTCCTCATTTCAATTGATGTTATTGTTGCGGAGTTGTGCTACAATCGGTCACGTACCTATGTACCAGGCAAGCAAAAATACCCTGCCAGCTGTGCAGGTTCAGTGCCACTCGTATGCCAGCAGTTGCCGGCTGTCCGTGTTTTCGTTGATAGATTCTGGTTACATATGTAATATTTAGGTACTTTAGTACTCTGCTCAATCCCATTGTTTTGAAGAAATGGCCCAGGCAGCCCAAGTGACTGTGAATCAAGACGTCCCTGTGAATGAATGTGTACAGGTTAACTAGTGCGTCTGTTGTACATGTGTTTGTTGTAACGGCCATCTTGGTTCAATACAACAAAACCTGCGCATATTCAAAGGAAGCAATCAGCTTGTGTTACCCGACATCATTGACTGGTCCTCGCCGATCCATCTTACATTCTTTCTCAATTCTAGTCATTCAGCAAAACTCATACTCCGCGGCCATCCTCCCAGCAGAATACGCGCCGCCAGCATGGCTTCTCCGATCAGGGACCTGGAGCCGGGTTCTCTCTACGTAACCATTTCTCTCCCGTACCACATCGAAGACGCCGATGCAGCATCGAGGCACAACTTCCACCCCAAATCGTCTCGCGGACTTGACATAGCCACGTACGAAATCCACTGCGCTCAGGACCTAGCCCAGGAAGAGTTCAACTGGGGCCTCTACTTCCACCGTGGAAATCAGGACGGCATCTGGTATGCTTTGGCAAGACAAGACGTGATAAGCTACCCTGCCCCCACGCTCTTCCAGCTATCACGGCAGCAAATCAAGAGCTCGCCGCGCCTTCATTGTCAGGTTGTCGGTCTGGTGAGAGTTTTACGCATTCCAGAAATCCTGTGCAGAGAGCTCACAACCTACCTTGACTGGCTGGCACTGGGGTCATATGGCACCGTGACGCGCACATTTATATGGGTAACGTCCATGTATATTCGAACCTGGCACCACGTCATCCCCAAACCGGAGAATCCAGCCTTGAGGTATGGAATTCAGTTTGATGTCAACTTGTTCCTTCGAGAGGCTCTGAGCTTCGCCTATGCCGAGGTGCCGTACACAATAGGCGGCCAGCTTCCCCGACCAATCATCAGATCAGCTTTCGGCGTTGAGCTGGGTATTACCGAAGAAAACAGATGCAGCAAGAACGAGACACGAACAATCGTCGAGGCTCGGAACAGGAGACAAGGGTTTCCGGGGTCATCTGCTTGCCAGGGTGACGGGTTTTAACCTCCGTCTTATTGGATGACTGATGTTGGGCAGATCCGACAGTGGCTGGCAGCCACCGCATGTGGTGGGCGTCGGTCTAGATCAGGAGAAGTTAAGCAGGCGATGATCCGTGATAAGTTACGCTGAAATGATGGGAACAAGCCTGATAGTTGGTGGCATGAGAGGAATCATCGTCAAAGACTGCCAGGGCTTTAGATTGGCGATGTCTTTGAACGCAGAAATTCGGCAGTATCGAAATGGTGGTACCCAGAATTGAAATACCATACGGACTACTCCGTAGTATTATGTAGTTTCGTGTTTCCCTACTGGCTGTGCAAAAGAAAAATTAAGATGATGTAGAGATCCTTCAAGCTATCTGTCGTACGCGGTTCATGCGGATTTTAATCTCAAAGTATTGACTGAGTCGTGCCGTTCCTCGACTAGGCTGCGTGCCCAGCAGAATCGGCCCATCGGGTATGTGTTGTCCTGCGTCACTAGACGACCTGAGAAGACATATGACCACAACACCTGATCGAATGGTGCTGAGGGATATTCGTGCCGACGGCGACAACGTTAGTACAATGCCGCTTGTAGGGAGGGATCAATTGATAGGTGCCAAGCGTCGCTCTTACTCTGGAGAGTCAGGTCTGATCCGATGAGTACCGGACATAACTTCTGAAAGTCCCAGATCCCAGATGTGGGGTGGGGTCTGGTTGATAGCGGCAACACAAACCGACTTGCTGTAGGCTCGTCATGTTGTGCCTGGCATTGACCTTTGATGCGCATTGGCCTCGTCAGACTTTGCCAAGATTCTGCATACAGCCGCAACCACAGCATTCCATGCAATTGTAAAACTGTGTCTCGGAAAACCTTGTTGACGAGTGGCTTCTCCTGTGCGAACAATGGAAACAATGAATGACCGCTTTCTTTTGAACGAAGCGGCGACAAGGACCATACAGATCGGTGAAACACCCCACTGATCAAGTGATCCGGTATCAACGCCGACCCTGGCTATCGCGGCAAGGAGTTCAACTGACAAGCCATGTCATTGCTCCCTCGCAGTCTTGTGGGTGACATGCAGCAAGCGTCGATGATGTGTCCAGTCCGGAAGTAGCAGTTCCATTACATGGTCATTGGTCCTCCTTCCAGGGCTGACATGCTAGACCCATGACTAGTCCATGCATCGAAAGTTGCGACGCAGCAAAGTTTCCCGATCTCTGGATGCTGCCACCTACCAAAAACGTCGGGTGAGGTTCCATTTCACCCTTCCACCAGACTCTTCGACAGTCCTGCAGTGCTGCACCGTGGCAGCATCGTGGCAGCCCACCAAATCCCCGGCTTGAAATGCAATAGAGGGGCACGGTGGTCGCTGTTCGGTGTGATAGAGCGGTGCGCGGAGCACGAATCAGTGCTGTTTTCAACTACCGAGATCCTTGTCATGGGGGGTGATCGATGATAGCACAGCAGATCAGACTCTCCCACAACGTCATTCGCCACCTGCTCTACTCAATTAGCACCGGCGCACGTCTGGTGAACTTTATCGCCGTACAAACTAGATGGTGGTAAAGAGGGGTTGTTCTTGTTGTGGCGGTTGAAAGTGGGGGAAGGAGCTGACGCCGGGGATCTTGGCCACCCTTTAGCGGTTGTCCAAACAGATTTAAAAGGGACCTTGATCCTCCCATCGAAACTGTTCGCCTGGCTGTCCCCCTCAACTTCTGTCAACACACAGCCTTCAGAGAAAACAAGCACTTTTACACCCCCTGCCCAAAAAGACTTCAAACCATTCACGTCATCATGGCTGGCGATTGCGGATGCTCTACCTCTGGCTCATGCAACTGCGGTTCCAACTGCACTTGCGCCAACTGCCCTGTAAGTCGAGCCCAAGCCTGTCCAAGTCCAGCAACTCCGCATGACTAACATAAGTCTGTGTTTTGTAGCACAAATAATGGATTCATCCTCCTCAATCACGCCTGCTTTACCAGGTTATGAGTCGACGATGAAGGAAGTGTGAAGTAGAATAGCAGGGTCTAGCTGGAGCGCCTCGAGTTGTTTTGTGCGTCTGAGAGGGGGGTGGGACGCAAGCCGCTCTTTATTTTGGGGTTTCCTATGATGAGGCGGTTGATGGCACGGGGTTGGTTCGATAGGCTTTGGCATCAAATTGATCACTTGGTTTGATATTTTGAGCTTCTGTGCCGCAAATGTATTCGTGAAGTTTTACCAGAAGACAAATAACTCCCTCGCTAGGGTAAATAGTGCCCCCATGTACCATTACGAAGTCCCTCTGCTATGTACGTCTTCATGCGCTGGACGTCAGTCAAGTTTCGCGATGTGTGTCCGGGAAAAAAGCCAGGACGGGACTGAAAGATCCTGCCTGTGCCTTCTGTAGCTCATTTTCATAACCATCGCCACTTTCGACCTGCGCCCACCTCTTTTCATGCAACAAAATGCTATGGTCGCTTTCCATTATGGACTTGACGTCTACCAACACTCGCCCGCTGTACAGCACTATGGCGACCGTGGCCATTCTTACGCAGGTAACGTTTATTCTGCATATGCCCAGCTCAGCTATTTGTCCGACGTGCTCATATCGGCAGCCTGCCAGCTCTGTCGAGGTGAACTGCCGGACCAAGTTGAAACACCACAGCCCCGACAACAGCAAGTCGTAGACCAAGTTGGCATATCGAGGGCTGTAATTCAGCCGCCAAGACACGAATCGAACAAGTACAACTACCAAGGAGAGGATTGCTAATCCAAAGTTGGACTCCTGAGCCCTGTTCGGAGTTGTTAGTCCTGCTCAATTCTTTTGCTTTCTTCTCCTGACATACCTTGAGTTCATCTTGGTGACCGTGTCGATGGCTTCTGGGTTCGATGCAAAACATAGACCTGTACGCAAGTCCACATTGCAACCGAAATGTCCAAGCATCTTCTCATCATTTGCATGCTCAGGGAGTTTCCGGACAAAACAGACCACTGCAGTGACCGAGAGACAGAACTCAAGTCCCAAGAGTAGCTTCTGCACCACGCCGTGTACCGACATTTTGGATAGAGTGTGCGAGTCTCGCCAACAAAAACACCATGCCAACTCAGGACATTCCAGAGAGCAATGGCAAGATATATATATTGTGTCTACATACATGTATGCCATTAGTGGGCACTTCCTTGTGCTTGGCTCTATGCACCAGAGCCCAAAAGGTTGCAGCCATAAACTTGCTCATTTTGACGCACGAACCAAGGGACAGTGTGGTGCGGTGGTTCTGGAAATTCGAAATGCGTTACTACTTTTATACCAGGGTGTCATAGTTGACGTTAGCTGCAGCACACTGGCATCCAGCCGATTGGTTGCGGCATATGACGAGCTTACGATTCATCTTGCTCATGAAGGTGGCGAGGTTGGGAATGACGGCTACCACGCGTTCTACTTGGACGATGACAGCTACCAAGCCACCCCAGGTAGATTTTCTCAAGATCTATTGTTTTACCTCGTTTCCCAAAACAGACGGTGTGTGTGTGTGTGTGTGTGTCACATTGTATTCCAATACCGGGATATATATAGCTGCATTGTATTGAGACTTGGAGACATTCAACGGGGGATCCTTTACCTACCCTGTTCCTAGTAGGCCAACGGGTTTCTCAGTCCTTTGAGCGTCTTTGATTGAGATCATGTGTTGTGACGAGTCCTCATATACGTTCATTTGCTTACACTTGATAGGTGTTGAATCTGGCAACAAAGAGGACGATTCAAAATCATCCAAAAGGACAAAACGGCTTGGACTCGTCTTTGTCCGAAGACGGCTTGCGGGTTAATAGTCGGCGGTGGGGCTCGGTATCACAAGTTGAGTGGGTTTGAGGCTGCAGGTCCATGATTGGCTCACTGCTGTCCCTACCGTTTGTTGAGAGGCGTGACATCAGCACAAGCAAACAGCCTCGGAGTCCAAACCATCACTCGGTCCAACTTGCAAACCCGACATACATCCGCACTGGTGTTACAGGCAGAAGGGCAGTAACGGGCTCGTACGCGATATTTTTCGGCATTTCATTTGTCCGCGATTACTTTCACATTCCGGCGATAACTCTCACTGATGCCAGTTGGCTACGGTTCGACCAAGAAACGGCTACACACTTCTCGCCAACTATGAACACTTGACGAACGGCTCCAACCTGGCTCTGAAAGCAAATCTTGCGGCTTCGCTTCCCAGAGCGTAGCACCGCTGGTCCAAAATGGCATCAACCGACAAGGCGACGATATCACCGCCCGAGACGCTAGAAGTTGTTAAAGCCGAAAGACATCCCGATGCACCACGACGATGCTTCATTTGTTTGACAGACGAGGATCCATCTGACCCCCCAGGCTCATGGGTCGATCCTTGTCCCTGTACTCTCGAGGCACATCAAGACTGCATGCTGTCATGGGTCACAGACTGTGAGCGTAACAACAAGCCGCTGCAGTGTCCTGTATGCAAATCCACGATAGAGATGGAAGGGCCGTGGGACTTGGTTGTCGCACTGAACGATGCGATTAGCAGTCGATTTACAAGGGCCAGCCCGTTTATACTCTTCACGGGAGTTTCTATGGGCGTACAGTTCAGCTTACAGATGTATGGCGCCTTGGCCCTCTGGTCGTTTGCTGGGAAAGACACCATGATGCGGTTTCTGCTCGGTCCTAAGATGGTCATCGACGCAAAGAACGCGGGGGGCATGCGATTTGTGCGAGAACGTATATGGAGCGCGCTGGTCATGATGAATATTGCGCCGACACTGCTGTTCAGCCAGCTGCTACCCAACCTGAGCAACAAGATATTCCTACCTTCAGCTTCCTTGGTACGAGGACCCTTTGCCCTGCTCCGTCTGTACCAGAGGATGCGAGATTGCTAACATGATGGATTTTAGTACGGCATGTATCAAATCATACACGACGATGCGTTCCTCACTTGGCCCCCGTCCCCGCGACTTGCAATGACTCTATTCCCCTACGTACGCTCCATTTACTACAATTTATGGCGAGAGTTTGTGCTGCCCTACGA